TTCTAAAAGATCCTTTATAATATGCCCCATTTCCCGAGTGCTAACCATTCAAATCTAGTAATATAACGAAATTCATCAAATTGTCATCTTCTCGTATTTTTCTCGATATCTATGGATCTGAGTGTCAAAGTGCAAGAGAGCAATATTGTTAGGATAACAATTTGCTACAACTTTTACTCTAAAAGACTTTTTGTAATATGCTTTGAATCACAGGCGTTACCATTAACAACCTGTAAAACACCGAAAATCATAAAATTTTCAAAATTTCGTATTTTTATCGATATCTATCAATCTGAGATCAAAAGTACAAGAGAGCAATATTGTTATAAATTAAATTTTTCACAACTTTTACTCTAAAAGTTTTTTCGTAGTTTGCTTCATTTCCCAAGTGTTACCATTAACTACCGTAAAACAGCAACAAATTCATCAAATGTTCATATCTTCGTATTTTTCTCGATATCTATGAATCTAACAGCAAAAGAGCAAGAGAGCAATATTATTAGGAATAAAATTTGCTATAACTTTTATACTAAAAGTCTTTTTGTGGTTTCATTCGTTTCCCAAGTGTTACCATTAACAACTTGAAACAGCAACAAATTCATCCAATTGTCATGTCTTTGTATTTTTCTCGCTATCTATGCATCTGAGAGCAAAAGTGTAATAGTGCAATATTGTTAGGAATGAAATTTGCTACATCTTTTGTTCTAAAAGTCCTAGAAAGACCTAGAACTAGAATTAGAAATATTCGGGCTAAACCCGAATGTTTGCAGTTGTAGCTCTAGCGTTAGTTCTAGTGGTAGTGTTAGTTCCAGTTTTAGTTGTTATTCAGCGTTAGATTGTTATATATTTCACATTGAACTAAAACTAGAATTAAAATTAGACTTAGAACTAGAAATATTCTAGTTTAGCCTAACACCTCTTAAGACGACAAAACCCGAATATTCTTAGTCCTAAGTCTAGTATAAGTTCTAGTGTTAGTTCTTGTTTTAGTTATTATTCAGCGATAGATTAAACTAACTAATAAAGAACGCAACTGATTGGATAGCTGTTCGAATTTGTGTGCATTAAAATTATTCATTTAAACAGTTTAAAGTGTAAACTAAAAATTTGTTATATAACAGACTTTTTGCTATAACCTTCCCCGTATTAATCGATATTAATAGAAAATATCCTTATTAAAATTTCAAAATATTAACCTAATTTTTATGTCCTCTAATACTTCCTGCTTAATTAATTAGACATATTTTAGCGTTAATAACTTCCTGAAGTGTTAAATCAAAGGATTTTTTTAATTACTACGATGAATAATAACATTACATCCAACACTATTTAATTATAACTCACGTGCTTTACTGAATTATTTCAAAATTACGTTTCATAAATTAACATATCCGGCATAAACTTAGCCTTATAGATGAGAATTAGATAACATCGAAGGTCTTATCCATTACAAGAACTTTAGTTTTGAAAAGATTTTCAACACTACTTTTCGTTTTTATTAATCACTTAGCGTGCAAAAGAAATCATTTTCTAGAGATAACATAAAGTTGGTTGCATTTCAATGAGGGTTAATTACAAAAACGGGTTAAATATGTGTTATTAATAATTTAAGTCGAGCGTATCAAAGTTCTTTTTGGTCTATTTGTATCTCACTCGTTCAACTTTAGTTCAAGGCGTTTTAGTTTGTTTCGATTTATAATTAGCGGCTTAGTTTCAATTTTGTTTTTGAAATAAACTCTAATCCGGATTTGCAATAAATTACGTTAAATCGAGTTTACATCTGTATTTCACACACTCGGCTATCTCTTTCATAAACTAGTAATCAATAGCGTTTACGTCATTTCCTTGTGAATATTTTACGCTACTGTTTTAGTATTTGGGATTTACAATTTAATTTTCTTAGAAAATTAGATAATAAATATTTTATAAATAGAATAGACAAATTTTTAATGAGAAATAAAAAGGTAATTATTTTATATTAATAAGATACAAATAATTTTTTTTATTATACTTTATATTTTTTTTTATTCATTGTAGTTCCGCAATATAATGAATTTCCTTAATATTAAATTTTCCGGGTGAGTGAACAGCGGTTTTAAGTAGATTTTTAGCGACTTCCGATCTGGGAGGCCACAACTTGAGCAAAGTTAAAGAAAAATAATTGGATGTTGGTGGCATTAAATTCAGAAAACTTTGCTGTAAAACTTATTTATTCCCAACGTAATCTGAAATATTTTCAACCTGAGTAGTTATCTATTGAAGAGTTAACTTGAAACACGTTCTTTTAGAGGTCGGAGACTTTTAAATTGCATATTAATTGGATATAACAATAAACGTAGAGGCGTTGTGGAGGTCTTCTAATTCGTTTCGGTGTTAATTCCTGACTCAAGAACGATCTTTTAGTTGTTTGTGATGCAGATTCAGTAATCGTTATTCTACTTTCTATTGCTTTTCGAATAAAGCAATTTAATCGTCAGTATCATTTCGACAGCAGATCGCACTAATTTGATTTTAATACGATGTTGCTATTGTAAAATAGCCACTCAAAATGAGTCTAGAAAAAAATTGGCCAACATTTTAGATGTAGTAATGCTTTCATGTTCATCATGTTGCAACATTTTATCTTTAAAAATATAAAGTGGCATTTTTTCTTAAATCCTTTACCCCAAAATATGGTTAAGGTAGGTGTTTGTTTCTCTTCTTCTTATTGTCATCTCTTTCTAGTCTGTTGAGTATGTTATTTCTGATAAGACCATTAGTCTCTGATGTCAGAGTTCTTAATTCTGTCTCACCTGCTTTTTCCTAAGATACTACACTTATCATGCTCTTAGTTTTGTTTGTGTCATCTGGTATTTCTATAACTTATGTCATCATTGGGAGGATGCAGGTCTTGTATGTCTACAGATTACAGCCTGAAATTGAGGACACTTCGTTAATCTGTCTTTTAAGGTCCCCTGCGCGATCATGTGGACTTGAGATGTGGACGCCCATGCAGAAAAATTCCTTGACTAGTCCGATGAAGGTGTTGTTGACTACCAGCTTACATCTTATTGGCTCCCATGCTACCACCATGACATTAGTTTTTGAAGTAGAGACAACTTCTATGTTCTGTGTAGTGGTCTTTGCAGTTCGTTCTCTGAATAGGCGATTTACGCAACGTCGTCGACATAACATATTATGCAGACTTTTCTTTGGCCCATGTATATTACAGGTTTAAAGTTATCACTTCCGTAAGTTGAACAAAAATAAAATAAGACTATCACCTTGTCAGATACAACAACAACTTTTTGAATATACTTGACCTTCAAGTCACTGAGTACCGTGGATCTGATTGAAAATTAGTACTACTAGTTTATTGAAGATTATAACTTCTTCCCAATCAGCCAATAAAGCTGCCTATATGCTTTATATGCTCTTACCACTAAAGTTTGGTATCCAGAGTCATATCACGATACTTGGCGTTGTTCTCATATGGGACAATGATGGTATTTAAATCTTGCAGCGGTGAGCATTTTGTAAAATTGATATGAACGAATTTCAACTCGTTTAACTTTAACTTCCGTTATTTGTCCAGTCGAGTATTGCATTGCTAGCTGTTTACAATGTTCTAGTGGATAATTCCTGATCTTTTCTGCAAACAGTGTTGTTTTGGGGCGAGGAGCCGAGGGTGTGGAGATGGAGGAGGAGGGTAGAGGGTGTGTACATGTATCATATTAAAGGAGAGAATATTGTAAATATAATAAACAATAAAGCGCTTATTATTACTAAATGTCTTAGGCATCCTGTCGATCAACTAATCAATTTTGGCAGATCGACATTAGCAATTGACCATGTCCATGATACCTTAGATAATTATTCAACTTAGTAAGCATAAAGTTAGTTAAACTTTTGCCAAACTATGAAGCATTGTGTAACTGCCATAATCTTACAAAGATTTTATCTGGGTACCATTAATCTTACGCAACATCCGTAACCTTAACCAACAAAACTATTAATCATATTAATCTTTATCTAGGAATGATTGACTTTGGCAAACAAAACTAATCTTACTCAACATTTCTTTCCTGGAGGCTATAAACATAACTAATCTTTCCTAATCTACTTAACAATGCGCAATGTCTACAACATCTAATATTTTTACGTAGGAATCATCCACCTTAGTAAACGAAGGTAACATTTCTACCTGGGGGTCATTAACCTTAGTAAATATATCTGACGTTTCACAATTTTACTGGAATTGCACACGATTCATAATGTTATTCAACATGTTTTACTTAATAAACATAACTAATCTTTCTCTATTAATCCCTAACATATATTTCCTGATAAGAAGCCTTTTGATTACTATTGACCGCTTGTTCTGGTTATGATCCACAACTTCATCGTAAGCCATGCTCAGATCTCATAGGATGAAAGCTATTCGAGGCATCGCTAGTGAGTTGTGGCACCACTTTGGCAAACTTTGGGCAAATTCTTCCACATCCTCCAAACAATCGTCACTGATCGCCAGCAGTTAACATCAGTTAGTCATCAAGATAAATGTGTTATTTTAAAATTTGACGTCAGAGCTGTCCACATCCTCAGATTTGATAGAAGAAATTTTAATCGAACTGGTATTGGCTTCTAACTATCCTTGTTGCAGTCTTCAAGAGCTGCTCCATCTCTTAATGACTGAAAGTAGTTAGAAAGTTTATGTGCAAGTTATACCTGACGCAACTTTTTTCTGAATCTGCGAATATTATATACTAAATACAAAGTCAAGGAATTTGGCAACATAATAATAAATGATATGACCAGTTTATTACCACAAATTATTATCTTCTTATATCTTCATATGGATGGATAAAAGATTTTATGAACGATTCTAGAAAGAAAGATATTAATCATATTCAGAAAAAATTGTTTCAAATCCAGAAATAGCAACATCAATAAAAAATATTTTTATAACCTCTATAAAATATATATTTATATTTAAATGAGAATTAGAAAAAAAATTACACTTATTTAATATAAAAAATAAATAATAAAATATTTTCATATTTTTCTACCACACTCTACATTTTCCGACTGGATTCATTGCAGTTCCAGGTTGACAATGATAAGCTTCTGCAAAATCGTAAGAATTTCTTAAAGTTCCAATAACCCTAAATCTTCCGGGTGAATGAACGGCGGTTTTTAGTCGATTTTTGGCAGCTTCCGGTCGCGAGGTTCCACACCAAACTTGTGCAAAATTAAGGAAAAATAATTGGTTATTGGTGGCGTTAAATCCAGGTAAAAGTTCGTCGGAATGCTTCGATAACCATGCTTGGTAAGCTTGGAAAGCTTGTTTAATCCCACCGTTATCGGCAATATTTTCACCCTGAGTGGTCATTCCATCTAACGGAGCGTTAACTTCAGGTACAACGAAGGAATTGTATTGATCTACAATACATTTAGCTTTATCGCGGAATTTCGCTGTTGATTCATCTGACCACCACGTATTTAAGTTACCATCTTTGTCAAATAATCGACCTTTATCATCAAAACCGTGCGTTATTTCGTGTCCTATAACAACACCAATACCACCATAATTAAGGGCTTTTGGAAAATGTTGATGGTAAAAAGGTGGTTGTAGAATTCCAGCTGGGAACATAATTTGATTTTTATTTCTACTATAATAAGCATTAACAACAGCGGGGGCTGTATTCCACATATTTTTATCGACCATTTTGCCAATTTTTTGATGTTCATTTCTGGTTAGATGTCTTAAAATGCTAAGATTATTTTCGAAATAATAATCGGGGTGGACTTTTATATCTTTATAGCGTTCTAATAATAATTGCTTGTTAAGTATTATATCTGGATAACCAATTCTGAGTCTCATAGCGTCTACTTTTGCGATGGCTATCGATCGCGTCGAGTCGTCCAACCAATCGGATAACATCAGAATATTTTTAAAAGCACCCTCGAGTTGTCTAGTCATCAGTATCGTGTCGTTTTTGCTTTTCTCGTCGAAATGTGATGTGACAAATAAATTACCCAATGCCATACCCAAGTTTGAATTAACCTGAGCCACACAAAATTGCCAACGAGGTGGTGACGCTTCTCTACCAAATAATAAATGATAAAATTTTTGTTTTGCATTTTGGAATCGTTCGTCTAAATTATTTACGCGATGTCTTACAAATCTCCATAATAAATAATTCGCTAAAGTTCTCGATCGAGTTGAACTTATTAAATTAACTAAATCTTGTAAATAACCCATACAATAACATACAATTGGTGTTGTTGGTGGGATATCTTTTTCTGCGATCATTTCAAAGTAGCGTATCCAATCAAATTGTGGTAAAAAAACTTGTAATTCCCCCAAAGATAATCGTGCATAAATACTAGTTAAATTACGTCTATCTTCAGGATCAGCTGTTATCAGAGCTAATTTACACTCAAAATCAATAATTTCTTTAACGTCATCTACAGCTTCTTCTTCAGGTGCGCCCATTATATAAACCGTATCCAACATAAATTGGTGATAAGCTTCGATATATTCTCTAGATGTTTCAGATAAAAAATATTCCCTCGATGGTAAACCCAAAGACGTTTGATCTAATTGAATAACGTATTCGTCGGAATTCTTTATATCGGGCCCGATCCATTCCGATATTAACAAATCATTATTATAAAGTCTTAATTGGCCAAGAAGCCAAACTAAATCAAAACTAGAAGCATCCCAATCAGTTTCTAAAATGGGCCAACCACGCAACTCCGTTATAAGGTGTAAAAGCGGCTTTTCACCTCTCACATCAATAAGATGCTCTTTCATACAAGACGAATATAAATTTTTCGCTTTACGAATCGGATCGATAAATTCCGTTTTAATGGTATTTAACACCTCTTCGAAATACGGCGAGGGAACCGTTTGATTCGTTTGATTAAAATTATAAAGTTGTAAAATAATTTTATCATCAACATTTTTATCATCGCTTTCGTTATCTTCTTCTAATAATTTTTTTAGGTGTAAATCTAAGTCTTCACGTAACATTTCAAAAGTGTCGAAACCACCGTGATCTGGTGGTATCGGATGGTATTTGTACCAATTTCCGCAAGCGTATTGATAAAAATCTTGGCAAGGATTTACTGATACGTCCATGTATTTCATCATATTTCTGCTTTGTATTTGGCGGAGTTCTTCAGGGGATAATGTGTTATCCCATAATTTTAATTGATCGGTTGTATCGTTTATTGGTTTATATTCGGATGTTGATTTATTTCGGAATGCTGCTGCTGATTGGATTGTTGCGGGTTTTAATGATGTTGAGAGCGTTTCTTCAATTTTTTTTGCTACACATTCTTGAGATGTTATTTCGGTGGCTGTGGTTTTACAAAGTTTTAATTTTTTGGTATTTAATTTTTCAGTTATTTCAGTTAACTCATTTAATTCGGTTGATTCAGTTTCTTCAATTAATTCATTTAAATCGATGGTTGTTTCTCCTGGTGATTGAGATGTTTCAATTCTTTCTTTTTCGTATTTTTCACTTTCTTGGTCTTTTTCATCGTTGTCATATTTTTTATCATTTTCATATTTTTCATTTTTATAATATTTTTCATATTTTTTACCTTTCTCAATCTTTTCATTTTTATATTTTTCATTTTTATCATATTTCTCATCTTTATCATATTTCTCATCTTTATCATATTTCTCATCTTTATCATATTTCTCATCTTTATCATATTTCTCATCTTTATCATACTTCTCATCTTTGTCATATTTTTCATCTTTCTCATCTAACTCATCATTTTCAGCTTTATCATCGTGTATTAAATCATCATCATTTTTTTCTTTTCCATTTTTCCCACTATTTTGAATTTTAATAAATTTTCCTAACTTTTTAAAAAATTTTTTTTCATTTTCAGTTGTTGCCACAATCTCAGTAATAACAGAATTCGAATCAGTTAGTTCGTCATAACTGCTATCATCTTCATCTTCTTGATCATCCACATTAATATTATGATCATTAACATTGTCGACTTTTAAAAATTTTGAATTATGCGACTTCGATAATTTATCAATTAAATTATTTTCTTGAATTAATTTATTGCTGTGATATCGCCGTTTTGGAATAAAATAATTAAGTTGATCTTGTGTTAAATTTAGGTTTGGTACCTTTTTAACCCTAGAATCGCCTCCCTTATAAATCTCACCGTTTACGAAATTCGCTAAATTTTGCGGGTACCTCAACCTAAAAAAATCATCAACTTCGTTTTCGTCATTAGGAATTAACTGTAAATCCATATTGGTCGTTTGCATCTTTGTGCTTTCTGATGTAAAATCAACAACTTTGTTATCGAAATTTTTACCCAAACCAATAGAAAATGAATCAATATGCGAATCATCCGGGATACAAATTTCTCTAGCTATGGTGTAAGCGTTTGGTTCGATATTTTCGCGGTATTCATTCGATTCGGTTGGTAATTCAAAATTATTTTCATATTCGCCGATATAAGAAGATCTTCTTAAATTAGATTCTGTATAAGGCATAAAATTTTGGGTTAATGAATCTTGGTAACTATTAATTTTGAGATCATCCAAGTTTTTTGAAATTTGATTTGCATATAAAGATTCTATATCGCTTGGTACTGGTTCAGTTTTATTTATTTTTACCACTTCTCCACTATTTAGAAAAGAACTAACTGGTACTGGTGGTTTGGCCGGATTCGCCGGATAAACAATTTTCATGGGTTTATAATTTTCTGGGTGCATAATTATTTCAGAGGGTTTCGCATTACTATATTTATTTTCTTTTGGGACATAAATTATCTCTTGCTTATTAAACCCATTTAAATCGTCGTTTTTTTGAAAATTAAAGTTATAATTAGGTGGATTCGTTACATCCAAATAATTAAACGGTTTTCTAGTTTTAACATTCCTCATTACATCAACCAAATTAACGTTAGAACAATTTTTTAATAAATCGCACGAATTATAATTATTCAAATCAACTAAACTCTTATTTGCATTATTTTTTGAAAATGTTAATATTTCAGGATTTTTTTGCACCAAACTCGAATTATTAACATTCACAGACGAATTCGATTGCTTTTTATAACCAGAATTAATTTTAACGTGGTCATTTTTATCTGTTTTATTTAAATTATGTTCGTATTGTTTAGAAAACGCATCAAATTCTTTACGATCATTATCGGTGTCGATAACTTTAACGTTAACGTTAGGATTCGAATTTGATTTTGAAAAAACGTTTCCTTCAATTCTTGGGGTTATAGCCATTTCACCTGTGTTACAACCAAACATTTCTTGTAATACATCACTAACTGAATGCGCAACTGTATTAGCAATTACATCAATGTTTTGGGGTGATAAGGTTGGGAAATTTTTGTCGTTATTTCCATATTCCGATTGAATAATTGGGCTTAAATCATTTAATTGTGAATCAGTTAAAGGAGTTGTTATGTTCACTTGGATGATGGAAGTATTTGAGTTGATATTAATGAAAGGATTGTAATTTGATGGGTCAATTTCGTAAGGTGATTGCGAAAATTTTTGTATTTGTGGTTTTTCGGTTATCTCAACAACTTTTTCCGTTGATTGATTAAAGTTATGTTTTAAACTTCCTTTAGGACGGATTGTATTAATATGCAACTCACTTAATTTATAGTTAGTTAAATCGCTTGGACCAATAATTTTCAAAGAATTTGGGCTATCAACGACAATTTGGCAAGCAGCGTTTAATACATCGCCTTTAGATAATTTTTTTTCGATCCCAGTTGGAACATGTTCATTGTCTAAGTTTGCACTTTTTACGGATCGATCCGTTAGGTGTTGTTGTGTTAAAAAAAGATGATTGAAAGGAATTAAATTACTTTGTCCATTAACGGTTATAATAGGACCTTTCTCGTTAATTAAATCATCTTCAATCGATGGATTAGAAAATAATAACCCATCCGTGTTTAAACTTTGTGGTCCTAATTCTAATTTTAACTCAATTAACGGGGCATCTCTGTTTTCGTTGATTTTCGACGGAATTAATTTAACGTTTTCATCATTAACGTTTTCTTCATTATCTTCGTCGTCAACTAAAAAACTGTGTCCAAATTTTAAATTTGATTCTGTTATGGGGGGTAATTTAACATTTTCAACCGTATCTGTTATTAAATCTTTTATTGAACCTTCAGTATTATTGACACATTCACCCAAATTTTCTTCAATCTCATTATTTTCAGGAATCAGTTGATTTTGAGTAGTAATTATTTGATTATCTGGACTAATTCTTAAACCACCAGAAGAATTAGGTAAAGAAAAACAAACGGATGTTGGCATTGGTTGATTTAATCTTATTGCCATATTTTCATTTGATTTATTTTCTTCCAAATCATCTTTATTAGGCATTACTTCACTTGATATTAATGTTGTTTGGAAATTATTTGTTTGATTATCTTCCTGATTTTCATCTTGATTTACGTTTTGATTATCTTCTTGATTTCCTGCTTGATTTTCTTCTTGACCATCTCCCTGTTTATCTTCTTCATTCGCTTGACTTTCACTTGACTCATATATTTCTGGATTTGTTAAACCCACTTGACTACTTGTTGCATCATTCATTGAAACTGGATGGCAAATTGTTTCACATATCATTTGTTGCGTTTTACTTTCGCCAATTTCACTAGGTTCTGAAGAAGAATCTTCCACTTTCCCTGTTTTTATAACTGAAGATGTTACATTTTTTAATTTTGATGTTCCAACCTTATTTTCATCCTGCTTATGTTTATCTTTAAATTCATTTACTTTATATTTTATATACATTTTTGCGGATCCTGTTTTCTTTTCTTCAGGAACGTTGGATAAAATATTTTCTACATCTTCATATTTATTTCCAAGTTTCGTTTTGTTCTGAATAAAAACTGTTTTGGGTGTACTACTTAACATAAATGGTTTCGATTTTTTATTAGTGGAGTGTTTCATCTCTTGCATTAATTTATTATTTTTCGATAACACACTTCCTTTAATATTCTGCTTATTATCCTTCTTATTATCCTCATTCTTATTTTTATATTTGATAACCTTATCATCATGCGAAGCAGTTGCATTTAATGTAACTTTATTAATACTCCCAACAACAACATTAGGCATTTTTGTATACTGTTCTTTTAACTGATCCAACATAGATTGATCAGTACTTATAAAAACTAAACAACTCGTATTTAATAAACTTGCAGGTAAATCATTATGTGTATCTTTTGATTCTTCGTGAACCGTTTTATGATCACCAGAATCATGATTTTCCGAAGATGTTGAAGATGTTGTAGAATCTTTATCGTGACTTTCCGAAGAAGTTGAACTTTCTGTAGAATTTTCTGCTGATGCAGAATTAGAATCATCAGAAGATGTTGTCCCCCCTGCCTCATCACTATTACTAAAATAAAGATTCTTTGAGTAAACCTCCAATTGACCATCATTTCCAAAAAACATTTTATCGTTATCTATTTTTGAAATTCTTCCCTTAAATGTTGGTTTTAACTTATTTCTTATTAACGTAGATCTTACAGTTGCATCAATTGGAGAAATTGGAATACGGGTAGTTTTATCTAAATTAAGTATTCTGACGCTATGCATTTTTCCATTTAAATGGGGATAAACCATCCCAACATTTTTTAATTGATGATCATCAAGTTTTTGTAATTGCATCCCTGATTTTGACTGGAAAAACTTTTTTGGAACATCGCGATTACCATCAATTGGATTGACATGAAATTCTTTATGGATTAATGTTTCGTCTTGATGCGGTTGATGAATTAACACGGTACAACCTTCATCATTTGGAATTAGAGAAGATGTATCGTCCATAACTCGAAACATATCCGATGGCAAAACCGAACGTTTAGTACTTGCTTGGATTTTATCGTTTTTTTCTGTTTTTGATGATTTTGTGTTAATTTTATTATTGTCAAAGGTTGTTGGGTTTTTATTTGTGGGAACTGCTCGTTCATCCAAAAATATATCTTCAAAAGTATAGGTTAATGGAGTAAATGTATTTAAAAAATCATCTTCCTTATGTATTTCTATTATAACTGCTCCCTATACAAGTATTAATTAGAATTTTTAAACATTTTCTAGGTTTGTTTTAGCAAAAAACTGTACATTACTATACATTAGTATCCATGCACATTAGTTGAATGGGTTGCAGATAAATGATATGTTTTTATGTTTTTAGGAGATTTTGCACATTAATTTAAAAAAATTAAGGGAAGACTACCACAATGACCACAATGAGACTGTAGCAGCACCGATATCATACATTGCAGAAGTAGAATGGAGTTGACGAATGAATACAAAGTGACCTGAACACTAAGAAATTGAGTAAAAACAACGACAGAGGTAGCAAGCGAATATATTAAATTGCTGGACGAATACAATTCGAGCTGTATTAGTCAGATTAGGATTTCTATGAGGTTGATACTTTGAGTCAGGCAAATTTAATAAGATATTATGTTTACTGATTATAATATAATAAGTAAAAAATTTGAGTTGTCGCTTAGGGACTTGAGAATAATATCATTATAGGAAATCAGAGATCTATGTTATGCCTATGGGATATGATCGATATCCAAGAGTGACTTACACAACTACCTCAACACCCACTCTCAACATCTGCTCGATAAAGAATAAGCTGTGAATCAGAAACCATTCTTTCTATCACCTCACATTGTTAAATTTAATAGAACCTGATAAAAACACATTTGTGTTCTATAAATACATAACGACAAAAAACGATATGGTGAAAAATTATTTGATTCATTCCCATCAGCAACAGCTCACAAATTCTATGCTAAAACAAACCTTAATGTCAAAAATGATACCTTTGGGGATAAAGAAAATTTTCGTAAAGTATCTTTACTATCAGAATTTGAATCCAATGAAATCATAGGTGACCAGGAAGCAGTTGATTTCTGAACTTTCTTCGAAGGGGTTGCGGTTTGATTAGTGATGTTAACTTTTTTCGTCGATTTATTTTCTTTCGCAGAAGATTTTTTTCCACTCTTCGTAAAATTCTTACTGGAATACGCATTTGTTGAACTTGATTTACTGGAATCTAAAAAAAATATAATAGTTTAATGAGAAAAGAAATCAAAAAAGTCGTACTGCTTAAATTATCATTCGTTTGCTTAATTTTATCCATATTCTTAAAGAATACGTAACCATTCTTCTTTGTAGTTGCATTTTTTGTATTTAGACTGCTTACAGTTGTAAATTTTGTCGCTTTCGCATATTTATATCTCGTCGTTTCCGGATTATTTAAATTAGCTCCAATATCGTTTATAAAATCAACATCAGTATCCATAGCGGGAGCTTTTTTCGTGGGATGACATATATTATTTACTTTAAAATCATTTTTATTAAGACTCTGGGTGTTAGGTGAGGATGTAATTGATGTTGTATCCGAGTTTTTTTCAGATGACGTTTCAGTTGATTTTATATCTAAAGGTTGTAAAAGCATTTGTTCATGAAGTATTTGTGTGTTGGGATCTGATGGACACAGTTCATTTAAATTTGTTGAATCAATACCATCTGGTGAAACAATTTGCGAATTTTGAAAACCATTTTCATTTAAAGGCGATAAATTTTGTTGTTTACATAGTTGATTGTTTAAATTTAAATTATTCCCTGAGCTTTGATCATTATTAAAAGAATTCGAATTTTTATTTTGATCGTTGTTAGAAATTCCATTTAAATTTCCTTTATTAAACAATTCTCCTGTAATCTTATCAAATTGATTATTCTTAAGTTTCGAATCATTTTGAACGTCCAATTCATTTCCTTTTTCAACGCATTTTCCTTCCGTAATTTTTCCAACTTGATTATTTTCATTATTAAATTTTGAATTATTTAATTCATTTAATTTACTCCCACCATTATTTTTATTATTTTTATTATCTTTATTACAAAACGATTTCATAGGAATTTCAGTTGGAAATAATAATTTACTTGAATCACTATTTATCTTAGAGTAACCCCCAACATTTTCATTTTTTTTATTTAAATACAAATTGCTCATCGATTTTATATTCGGGTCGTAATTTAGATTCGTTTTATCATTTAAATTTCCATTATCAACATTTTGATTTAAATTGTCAATTCTGTTTGAATATTTGATTGTGTCTTGATAATTATTATTATTTGTGGTATTCATTAAACTTAGCAGCATGTTATTTTTATTTTTCGGTTTGAAAAAATTTATTATATCGGGAAGAAAATTTTTTGAATACGTTGTTATCAACGGATTTGATGTATAACTCTTTTCAAGATTTTCATTTATTACATTATCAGTTATTATATCATCAGATATCACATCATCAGTTATCACATTATTTGTTAAGACATTCTCTGTTATCACATTATCGGTTATTAGATCATTTTCATTTGGAAAATCCAAATAATTATTAGGATACGTTTTATATCGAAATTTATCTTCTAATTTATTATTTTTTTCTTCAAACGGTTTATCACTTTGTTTCTGATCGGATATATGTTGTTGTAACATTTTTAATTTAAATATTCCTTGTTTTCCTTTTAAATCTCTTATTCCTATAATAATAAAAAGTTAATTTGAGCTTTTTAATTCATATCTAAATTATAAATAGTAATTACCAAGCGGCGTCGTTTCCAAACTTAATTCTTCCACATCATTTTGCTTATCTTCATATAATTCATTAGAATAATCTTGTGTTAATTCATGACTGTGTTTTACCTTTTTTGAATAAATTTTCGGTTGTTCTAATAAATTTTTATGTGGATTTCTTCGCGTTAATTTCGATTTTTTATAATAAATCTTTTCATTTTTATACTTACCATTATTTATTTTATTTAAACGTGACTTACTTGATGTTCCAATCGACCCAGAAATTCTTTTCGTTGTTAAACCAATAACCTTATCATTACTATTTACCACTTTGTATTTATGCAACCTTTTTTTTGTACCATTCGATTTATGAACAACGAATTTTGTAATGCTAGGTCGAGTTGTGGTAAAATTTAATTTTTTTGATGTTTCTTTGTAAGTTTCGTTACCAAATTTTCTTTTTGTTGTTGCTTTTTTATACGAATTGGTTGCATAGTGTTTTCCTTTATTTTTTCTTTTTCTCCTTAAAAAATCTCCTCTATCAATAAACTCGAGAAGGTGATGGTATCGATGTTCTTTCCCTTCATAAGGACCATCTAAAATAGTGTCCATATTTTTAGTATTTTTCCAATCGCTTGAAGGTGCTTTTCTCCGTTTTTGAATTTGATTAAATTTGAATCGACGATAATGTCTCTTTTTATGCGTTGGTGACGATTTAACACTGCCATCATATTTTGTTTTATAAACTGAATTACTATTAAATACCACGGGACCAACAACATTATCCAATTTTGATTCTTTCGATGTTTCTTCAGTTGCAAATTCATCATCATTTACATTATCATTATTTCTAAAACTAACGGCTTCGGTGTAGACGATGGTACAACATACCATGACAATAATCAGTAAAAAGGTGTTAAAATAACAAGAATTCTTTGACGGACCTCTCTTTAAGCGTCTACATCGCATTGCAGTTTTACTTCTTTCTGTTCGGACATCTAATTGTATCTTGCGAGTGACGGGCGGTTCTTGGACGCATTTGAAATTAATGTCAGAATGGCAATGTCTTCCTGACAGCTCAAATTATGTACGATTATTCTTTAAATTCCAAAATTTATCCCACAAATTGCAAGCAAAATCAACTTTTGTATTGGTCAAATCGATCCAATACTCCTTGAACCAATAATATATTTATAACTTTAGCTTCTTTTGCCAATATATAAGCTGGTAATTGTTTGGCATAATGAGTGTCAATAAAAACTTAAAAAAATGTAAAAAATCATTATATAATGCATAAATTCGAGTTTCAACTCTTATAATTATTTTATTATTTTGTTAATTATATATAATTAAATAATCATATTAAATAATAATTTAAATTTATTTTAGATTAAAAATCGCAACTATTTATCTTTTTGAAGCTAAGCTTCAAATCGCTCATGATACAACCAAATCTACTGATCTTTAATGATATTATCTGATACATGCGAGTTTAATGACTCCTTCACCAAAGGCTTGTTGGAATAAAGCTATTAACTCCTAAGTGATACACATATACTCGTGCTTGAGTGGCGATTAAACCAAACCTATACAAACTAGTATGTTTGCAGACCTATCGCTAGGAACTCAAGACGCAAATACATGCTGCAAGGAAAATCCACCTACACTGATCCTGAAAAAAATGGTTAATGCTTTTGCAGATTAATTTTCTAGAGTAATCTAGAGTATATACATATTGGTTTCTCTGCTTACAACATGGTTGATGTATACTGTACGTATCGTCTATTATTTGTTGCCGATGTTAAATATATATTATATTTATCATATCTATTTCTTTTTTCTTGTAATATTGTCCTTTTTTCTTGTATCTTTGTTGGGAATAAAGTGAATTATTATTATTATAAGGAAAGACTAATTTTAAGTATAAAATTATTAGGGCGGAGTTAGGAATCAAGTTCCTACAAACAAAAAAAAAATAAAAATATTAATAAAATAGAACAAAAGAAAAATTTAAAAAAAACAATGATTACGAAATTAATAATATTAAACAAATGAAAATTTAAAAAAACAAAGGAATATATATTAATTGCAATACATTATACATGCGAAACTCAGCAACTATACGACAGATTGTTCATCCATTAATATTTATCGCAGTTTCTTCCTAAACGCATTCAAATTTAGAGATTTCAAAGAGCCTGGTAGCGGATAATAATATTTAGGAAGGTAATAAGTGAAGTATCGTTCAAATAACGAGGTCTCGTGTTTAGGAGGTGTAATAATACCTCTATTTCTAATATTGATATTATGAACATCTGTTCTAAATGATATTTTGTTGTATAGATACGGGGGCTTCTTCAACATGAGAAGCTTATGGTAAAATAATAACAAATGCAACTTTCTTCTGTTGGACATATTCAACCAACCAGAATCTATCAATTTATGAGACACATGATCATACCATTTTAAACCGTATACAAGCCTGAGGCAAGCATTCTGTACCCGCTGTACACGACTTACTGAAGCGCTATCCAGACAGGTACCGAAAACCTTATCACAAAAGGTGAAATGACTAAGTACAAGTGTATCGCACAGTTTTAACAGTGTAGTTTTAGATACTGTGTGCCTAATGCCATAAATTAATTTCTACGCTGCATATGATTTGTTGGTTTTTTGTGTAATATGTGTTTTAAATCTAATATCTGAATCCTGATACAATCCCAAATTACGAAAACAACATCCTACATTAATTAGCTGACCATCAACTTCTATACTGAATTGAGGAGAATGTTCCTCGCGCAAACCCCGCCTACCAAAAAGCATCAATGCCGACTTGGCACCATTCACCTTCAAATTATATCCAGACGAAATTTCCACTAAGTTTCTAATTTCCTGTGTTAAAATAGTTTCAGCCAGTGACACATCACTATACTCATTGGGTATCATCTGCGTAAAAATTACAGCTACAGTGTTTCAAACTATTTGAAAAGTTGGATGTATATAACGAAAGCAAAAGTGGCCCCAATATAGAACCCTCTATATTACACAACTATAATACACAACCTTTGCAAGAACCAGGAAAATGCTAATAGGTCGTAAATCCTTGTACTCTTGGGGATAAGAAATTTTTGGTAATGGAGTTACCAGAGCGGTCTTCCAACGGGAAGGGAAAATGCATTTCTCCAAACAGTAATTAACTATATGCGTTAAATCTGGGAGTATAAAAGGATAGCAGCACAAGAGCATTGATAACGAAATACCATCATCTCTGTCAGCATTAAGTAAATAACTTGCAACAACGTTTTCATGTACAGTTTCGAAATCAAAATACTTCTGAAATTCACATTTTTTGTTACTGTTATAAAAGTACATAACATCACTTGAAGGTGCTGCCAATGAACAACCTGTCTGGAGAGAGTGGTTATTAATGTCGTTCGCATTTCTTAAATGCATGGGCAAAGTGTTTACTCTATTCCTGATTACTCCGAAATCACGAACATCGCAGATGTCCCAGTTCGACTCGTTACGTGTCTTCTCAACGTTTTATATTTCGATCGCATGACTTTAACTATGGCACGATTGCAAACAGTTTATACCTTCTTGGTTCTTTGGCTATTGTTTCCATATCCATTTCATTTCCATATCCTGCATCGTCTGTATAGCATATGATTCTGACATCCTTCTCACCCAACCTATATTCCCTTCCACCAGCCACCGTTCCTTCTTTATTTTGTTCATCACTAAATTGAATAGAGTCGGGCTGCGAGTAATATCTTCTTGTCTCCCCCCAGTTGCAATTCTGATACTTTTCGTCACTCCTTTCTCTGTTCTAACAAAAGCCTGACGCCCTGTACCTCTTATATCATTTAGAAGTACCACAATATTCGGGTACATGTAATTATAGGAGATAATAAAATTGCTTGGGATTGTCTTCTCACTCTTCTTGAAGATTAGTATCAGTATGCCAGTTTCCATGGAGATGGTGTCCTTTTACTTTTGATAATTATCTTAAGTAGCATTTCATCTACCTGTGCGTCCCCGCCAAATTTAATCACCTCTTTTGTTAGTTCATCTACATCTGGTGATTATCTGTTCATTAACTTTTTGAATTTTTTAGATTAAAGTGCAATTACTTATTATTTGTGCTGTTAAAACAGTGTAAATTTATAAGTGACAAAACTAAGCAAGCTAAACAGCAACGTCTAAGGTAAGAAGTTCCTTCAGATGAACAAAATAAACGATTAAAAGATTCGATTGACAAATTTGTTCCTACTAGCTCTAGTGATTCTTGTGATAACGACTTAGCTCCTAACCGATCCAAGATCGAGATGATCCCACTACAGTGAGTCCATAGGAAAGAGCTTCGTAGAAATGCAACACTCTAAACAAAAACTTCGTACTAAAAATTGAATGCATGTGGCGCCATCTGTTGGAGATATTTCGGAATTATTCAGCTAAGAACCAAACCACTAGAATACAGGTTGGATTTTGTTTATATATAAAAGCTCTAAAACACAGAATAACTGTTTGGAAAGTGCTTAGAGCCACTATAGGACTCCAATTAACGTTCCGACTGGTTGGGAATTCCTCAGATGCAATTACACCTGCCAAATAATGCCGCCACATTTAAATTTACACTGCATCATATGACATGTGAGATTGCATTTGACGAGCTTCCAAGCAGTTATAACTTGTTATAAGGTTAGCTGAAACAAAGCTATAATGTCAATTATAATCTAATTATTTAATCATACCATTATTACTTTATTATACTCTTACCCTTGTAACTCTTACCGAAAAATCACTTTAAAATGACGTTTTCATCTGTCATTCTGAACAAACGTCAACTTTTAAAAGTTGAAGTTAGCGGCAAATTTAAAAATATTACACGAATTGGAATCTATACTTTGTAAATTAAAAGAATCATACTGGTAATAATTGTTATTGCTGTCTCTCATCATTCCCACTATTAATAATAAAATTGTTAGTTTAATTATATTATTTCAGTATAGACGCTATTGCCATCGTACGGTGGGATTTCGACATACAATCAGTCCCAATTTCTCCTATCAAAGATCCCTGGATGCCTGGGGCCCCTGGGGCTGAGTGAGTTTAACGATATCTTAGCCATAATGGAAGAAGTAAGTAAACAAAATCTAAATCAAATAACAATACTTTAAAACAATTTAAAATATTTATTTACAGCGCCATCTTATAGTCAGTCTTCAAACTAATTTAGACTTTGTCTACAAATGTGATTGGTAACTAAACTGTGAACTGCATGTTGAAAATTAAATTTTAAATAATTTTGAATAATTGGAAGATAAATGGATATAAATATGAATATTTCAAATGAAACTGAAAACCCTGAAACATTGCATTTAATGCACGTTCCTTGGTATAACACGTAAGTAGTATTCATTCAATTATCAACATAACCTATAAATTATTTCTTTTCTAAAGTGATGAATGGAAAAGTGTTTATTACCAACTATTTAACGCTGATGCTACAAAAGAAGATAAGAAAAAAGCTTTAAATACACTTATCGTGTGGAAATATCGTATGCCAAGACTGTATGGGTTAATTGAAGGCACTTTAATTTTAGTACAATGTTTGACGATGGTTGATGAAGATTTTTCAGATGAGGTTACAAAGCATATCGTTTCTTCAGCGATTCTGAGGTAAAATAACGATTATTACAAATATTTTTTACTTAATTGAAGTAAAATTTTAGATTTTTAAATGTGTGCTTGTGTAATTCAAAAAGTCAACAAACATTCTTTCATGTTGCCAAGACGAAAAACTTACCTGATTGGATTGTGGAGATTAGACATAATTTTGCTCATTCTCAAACTCTTTCATCGCCAGAAATGTTGATGAGAGCATTGAAATTTTTATTTAATTGGATAAAAGAAAATTATTGGGATCAACAAGTTAAAACTCTTCAAGACTACATAACTCCTCCAATAACTGTATTTAATGATCTTTTGGATTTGTATGAGAAGGTTGTTGAAGTCAGTGATAAGGATTATTCAGCCACTAAGTTACGAAGATTATTAAATAAGCATAATATTAGATTTCATAAGTGTAAATATACTTTATTACAAAGAATTGCATTAGCGTTGATTGAAAAACCTGTGAATAAATCAACCATTCCTGATGCTATTATAAAAAATAATAATTTTTTTAAAGCTGCTGAAATATCAAATGGTAAAATTAATTTAAAGTTTGTTTTATTTTCATTATTTTTTGTCTGATTTTAGATGGATTTATTGTTATACAATATCAGTACTGTTGGAATCCATTAATTTTCGCTTTAATTGAATGGAAAATATTTTACAAATTTTTAAAAATGTTGGTTTTAATTTGTTGTAAAAATGAGGATGTAAATACTGCAAAAAAATCAGCAGCTTGGATAAAAAGTATTTGTTATGTGATTAAGGCTGATAAAACAACGAATATTTTGAAAACCTTTAATGAGCAGAAATCATATGAAAATTTTGTTTATTGGACAACTTCTCATCCAAATGTATATATGAAAAATTACATAAAAGAGTAAATCTTTTTTATCGATTTTAATGATTTTTTTTAATAATATGATTGCAGGTTGTTAATATTAGGAAACTTTACTGACGAATTTATATTTTTTACGTGTCTAGCTGCAGAAGCGCTTGTTCCAAAACCAAATAGTGAACGACCAAAAAATATATATACCCTAGATAGTTTAAGAGAGGATTTTATGGAACAGTTGCATGAAGAAATAATAACTGAAAACAGATCAGAAATGAAAGGATGGCAAGTTGTAACAAGTAAATGTTCCAAAATGTTTCCATTTATGCAATCATTAAAATTTACGTTTTTATTATGTTATTTTAGATGGAGATATATTTGATGGTATACCATTAGGAACAGGGCCAGATTTTTAAAGAATTATTTTATTATATAATTTATAATAATACAAAAATACAATTATGTCCCTAATATGACCCGTTTATAACAAAAATCTGTGCGCTTTTTTGAATCCTACTTAAAGTAAGTACCATTTTATAAAAACGAAAAGTAACAAAAATATTACAATAATAAAAAAATTTTAGCTATTATAATTCTTTAAATAAATAAATGTTTACCATTTAATCCCAAGAAATTGTACAACCTTTGGCGTTTTTGTTCTTTCAATAGTTTGCGCTAATCCTTCCATCGTTCCAAGACCCCATGGTTCAAAAGCTGATCTATCCATACAGGCCACTCTTCCTCCGGATATATTACACAAAAATTTCCAATAACTTGACCTTAGATTTTGTGGCTCAAGTAAAGCCACGTGGAACAACATAGCCGTACTAAAGCAGTAAAGTAGCAAATTAAATCCTGGTACTTTTGGTACATATCCATGATCGATACCCAGATTATAAGCAATCTAAAAATATTTGATAATTACTTTTGTTATAAAATGGATGAAGAATTATAACTTTGAATGATATTGAAATGAACAATGGTAAATAAAATATCATATCGCTACTAGTCTATTTAACATATAAATAAACAACAACAATAAGTAAAAATATAAAGAACACTTATTTTTTGTAGTCTACACTACACGGTATATACTTTTAATCAAAGGTCTAGAATGTTCCAAAAATATTGAGGGAAATAAGAAAAATATGAACTGCTAGAGAAAACAAAGTGACAAGACCTCGTGTTATTTTCAAATGTTTAACCACAAATGTTAGAATCAAATGATTTGCGTGCTTCCAATACTTTTTACTTTAATTGCTAAAAAAGGCAAATCGCAAACGGAAATTTAATTTTCAGGAAATTAATTTTATAGCGAATTTTGCAAGTTATCGATGAAAATTGCAACATCGGAAATGTTATCAAAACTTCAAATATTGTTTTCTCAAAAACTAAAAGTTATTTTTCAAAATGGGTTGGTTCATTGGAAAGAGTACACTTTTATTAACACTTTGGGTAATTTTTATACTCATATTCCAAGAACTGGATTTTATACGAATTTTTAAAACTTAATCGGCGAAAATTGCAAAATTCGAAAAAATCAGCCGGATTTTAAAAAATGACCGGATAGTAGCCGGATATCCGTTCCACTACTAATATTGAGCATCACAAGGAACACAGTAGACCACACCCGATTTCAGCTGGGGTTCAGTGATGTCTTTAACCCTTCTAAATAATTTCTGAATTTTGTTTTCATAACAGTCGACAGTTTTATGTTTTTGAAAATTGAAACTAATGAACACCTTTTTAATTTTTCTACTTAGATTGTTTACGAAAGGAATTTTCCGATATTTAATGACTCGATTGTCTGGAATGATATTTTTAGGTAGGTTACTTTGTGGATTTGATGAAAACAATAATTTACTAATTAAATTCTGTGGGTAACCATTGTTGACAAAATTTTTTTTAAGAAGTAAGATTTTTATCTAGAAACAAAGGATCACTTATACATGTAACTCTGTGTTTCATCGTTTGTACTGTTGCTATTTTATGGCCAAAGTTGTGGTTTGAATTGAAGTTAAGATATCTACCAGAGTAGCTAGGTTTTCTGTACCAAATTATTATTATTGTAGTTGTTAAAAATTGCTCTGAAGAAGGTTGGATCTTACAACCACAAGCACTTTAAAAAAGATTGTTCCTGAATTATTTCTGACCGTTCACCCTGATTAACGTAATTGAAATTTGTGCTCAAATGAGCCAGATGATTTACAGTGGCATTTATACAGGTGTGCTAATATCTCTCAAGATTTCAATGTATTGATATTGACATAGTAATATCCGAATATACAGGTGTGTCAAATGTCTGGAATATAGTCAATAACTTCGCCATTTGTGGGTTTAAAGAAAAATGTTTCAAATAAGTTTCTTTATTAATTGTGGCGCATTTGTTGGCGATATTTGCTTGTTTACATTGTTTTTTGTTTCGTTGCTATGGCAACCAACATTGTTATTTTAAATGGGATGCATTTTTTTTTGCATATTTTGAAAGAAGATAAATCCCTCTACGCGATGAACATATCAAATCATATGATTACATAAGAAAAAAATCGAGAAAAATACGTTTTCTGAAAATATTAAATCAGTAATTTACAATCAAAGTAGGCACCGAAATAACGCCGCCTATTTTTGGACATTTAAAGCTGTCAACGGCGCTTTTTTCGGCGCCTACTTTGATTGTAATTTGCTGATTTAATATTTTTAGAAAACACATATTTCTCGATTTTTTTCTTATACAACCATATGATTTGATATGTTCATCGTATAGAGGGACTTAACCTCTATCAAAGTATGCAAAAAAACATATGCATCCCATTTAAAATAACAATATTGGTTGCCATAGCAACGAAACAAAATGCATGTTGCAACCCTCTTCAGAAACTGGTTCGAAGTGACTTCGAATTTTAGTTCAATTAACACCGGCAGTGAAAGCCTTCGTACTTAAACCAGTATATGTTGGCGGAAACTATAATCCGAATATACTATACTTATCTATATTTGCAAAATCAAGTGCAGATACGGCAAAAATAAAACAAATAGTAAGTACGGTAAAAATGAAGACACTCAGAACAATAGGAGGAGTGACTACGTAATCATGTGAGGAGCAGCAGTAAGAGAAGAATACAGAATCCACGATGTGGTGAAATAGATGCAATCCAGACGACGGGAATGAAGAGACAAAATGTTTCCGGAAAAATTGGCCAAATGGATCATGTTAGAAAAACCAGACAATAATCGAGTGCCTGGAAGGCCATCGAAAAGATGGCATAAAAGTTGGACTCAGGGTCGCAAGATGTCTAAATATAGAAAAAGCAGGAAAATGGAAAGAGGAAAAAGAAGCTTTGTCTTCAACTTCAACAAATAGTAGGAAAATGGTTACTCAAATAGTTTAAGTCGGTGCTTGGGTATCGTTAACATGTAACAGTACCTAACATTTATATTATGAATGTAGGATAGCGGATTTTAATAAGCAGAAGTCTTATATAAATATTTTTTGGTACAGAAAAGAAACTCCTCCCGAGTCCTGATGATAAAATGAAGACAGGAATTTCATTGACTTCATATTCTGCCTATGCGGAATGTTGCTTTTGAAATACAAAGGTGCTGCAGAAGACTACTAATATGACCCCATAGTCCTTCATTGTAAATAAAAATATTTAAAATTTGTTTAACATTATACATTTGAAACCTTTCCTCCAAAAACAATGACTAAGTTTTTTGAAGTATTGATAAACAAAAAATGCGTTTAAAAGTATAGTATTAGTCCTAACATAGATCCTAGATACATACATATGGCAATAAAGCCTCTCTTCCTGACAAAGTGTCCTAGAATGTAACAAATTGAAAGTAATGTAAGAAATGTTTATTGGAAAAATCTATTGAAGACGGAGAAAAGATAATGTAAAGAACCATTGAAGAGTGTGTTATAAGAATAATCAGTAACAGTAATAAGTAGAAATTTCGAACAGTAAGAATATCATCACTTTTCAAATTTATCAAGTGAATAAATATAGTAGAAACTACTTCATGATGACAATTCCTAATTGGATTTTAGACCTATTCACATACAGAAAATGATGATCAAATACAAGAAGAATTAATAAAAATTTCAACAAATGATGACTATAAATAAATAACAAAATTAAAGTGGGATACCAACAGTTTCATCTATTGTTATATTTAGTGTAATGTGGCTTTAAGATTCTATTAAAAAAAATCAATTCAAAATTATTAATCAATGTGACTTATATATGTTATGAACAAAAAAAATTGAACCTAATAGTAATAGATGGTAATAGATTAGTGTCAACACTTCAAATATATCCTTCACATTATTTCTGAATTTAAAAAACCTTGTTTATAATCACAACATACTAAAAATTAAACGTTTTTGATTCAAATTAAAATATGAGTCAATATTATTATCGTTTTTTTACCTGTAAAGTTTTCCACATAACATACAAAGCGATGGTTTTATCTGGATATTGCGAAAATGCAACACCCGCTAATAATCCAGCTGGAATAGCATACATAGAACTATCTTTTCCTGTTGTTCTTCTCAACAAACAAGAGATAGCCCTAAATATACCACAAGATCCTGCTAAAAATGAGGCAAGCTTGATGGTATCTCTTCTAAAAATGACGCCACTAAATCTCTTTGGATTTTTAAATAAAACTTGCATATTCAAAACAAGTTTTAATACCAATTGGATTGATAATCCAATCGAAAACATTTTTGTTGACCCCTAATAACAAAAAAAAAATAATCAATATCAAAAAGTATGAACAGAAAAAATAATGCTTACTTGTATTGTATAATACAAGCAGCTGAATGGATGTGGACACACGGTATGCCTATCACAGCACTTAATTTTATTTATAATTTGTTTATAGACTCGTAAAGCTTGATTTATTAATGCAAATACAAAGTTGGTCTTTTTTTTTCTTGGACGCCAAGTTGTTCCCCATCTCGAAGAATCATTAACAGACTCTGTTTCTCGATGAATAGTATTTGATTGACTAGTTTGACTGGGTACTTTTTCTTCATGTGTTCCAATAATAAATCTAAAAAAAAATTATTCAAAAATAGTATATTATCATAAAAAATTGTTTTTAGTTCAAACAACCTTAACATTTAATCTATAAAAATACATTAAGATAAAGATATGCTGCATCATTCTAGGAACACGATTTAAATACGTACACTCAAGTGATAACCCAAAATAAGATAAGTAAAAATTAAAATAATACTCATAATAATCTTATCACACGTGTTTTAAACAGTTTGAAGTGGTTACCTTAAAATTTTGAACATCGGATCAATACGTTTTTCCTCCTTGGCATGTAATCCACTTCTAAAAATGGTTAAAAGTACTGAAATGCTAGCGGCAAATATTGCAACTTGTCCATAAGGAATAGGTTTAACCATATTTCTATAAACCAACATGTTCCATATTGTTTCAGTGGCCACATTACTAACATATAAACTAAGTAGAGTTCTTCTTGATGGTCGTTCAATTAATATTGCAAAAACACTTGAGAGAAATGCTGGCATAAACGATGCCGTTACGACGTTAAAATTACCTAATAATCTCCTAAAAATGAAAATATATTATAGTTGGTGTAATTCTAAATTTTTTACTTTTACCTTAAAGTACATAAAAATAATGAATAACCAAATGCAGTTCCGCTTAAGAAAGTGGCCGATTGAAGAATCCCTAATATAGTCTTTTTTATATCTCTTCGTCGTGGTACTCGACCTTGCATCAATAAAGCTAGCTGTAACAAATGAGAATAAATCAATTAAATAATAATCAGTTTTATTGAAATTGATGACCTACCAAATAAACTGAACCGTATAATCTTAATGAATAAACTATTGATTGAATGTATAACCCCATTGTTGCCTCTAAACAACTATCAGTCCATGGATGGACGTAAAAATCACAACCAATAGGTATTGGGGTTAACTTACTTAGTACTTGCACCATTTTATTGTTTAACTTAATTGTTATGTATTATTAACTTAATTTGTTTTATACTAAATAACATAAATGCACTTATTTGGGCGTGTTACTTTCTCGATAGTTTCGCACTAACTTTAACTGGGTAGATATTTATTTGTACTGACTAAGTGTTTTTGAGTTTATGAGATAATTATGATAACTGTTCAAAATTGCACGATATTTTATCCAACAGAAATCTTTGAACAGCTGATTCTAATTATTGCATAAGATATGGAGATTTTGAGAATTATTAATAGATGGCACTTTATAATTTAATTTATAAATATTAAAATTAGAATCAATTCTTGAAATATCTTAAGATAATAAGATATAAAAACAAATTATTATTGACTTTTAAGAAGAAAATGGGATTTTTTTTGGATTTGGATTTTTTGTAATTGGACATAAGATTAGACAAAGGAGAATAAATTCTTTGCCATTCCTTTCGGATACCACTCAAAAGTATTGACTAATTCGGTTCTCACATGGAATTTTTGCAAAAATATGCGAAGGACTAGCTTCAAACAACGAGCAACAAGGAAACTTCCTCCATCTTACGTAGTGACGGTATGACGAAGGAAGAACTGCAAACGGTTATGAAAATGTTTCGTACATTTTGCTATGAAAAAGAGCAAATTAAGATGTTTTTTCTACTATCACAGTCTATTACCAAAATAAAAGTACCGTTAGATGCAAAAATGTGCGATGACACTGAGGTAGAGATATAGGAATCGCAAGCTGACCTAAACGATCAGGAAGAGTTGGGTTGAGCTTGGATTTCAAATGAAATCATTTAATGTCATGATGAGGTTTGCCTCGGTGTATATGTATTTAAAGAAGTATAGGTCTAATGAAGAATCAGCGTGTTGTCTAAAGCAATCTTCATTACTACACTGAAATCAATTATATCAGTACTTTGTAGAGATATAAAACTGTTAAGTTCAACTTTGAAGATCTTTTGGCTGGAGGCAATAATAATTCCACTTCTATCAAAAGTTTATTATGCTATATAATCGCATATTTTGGCGTTATGAAGAAGTGTTTCAGAATATAACGCATTAGTGTACTAGCTTGTAGTAAAAGATGAATCGGTAATTTATTAGTTCATTTTTCACCCAGCGTTCACCTATCATGGTGAAGATTTTACTACTCCTTACTAATTATAAGTTATTACCTCATATTAAGCAGCATCCCAAGAATCTTTTTGCCACAGGTTCGTTGTACCAAACAAATCTGACAACAGTTTTATGTACTGTAGCAAACCCTCAATAGAGGTTAGCATATACATACACTTCTCAAGTAATCTGATGATTATTAACAGTTGGTTGTAGGTAACGTTGGTTGTTATTCTTTATTTAGAATCCGTGAACGAACGTTGATTATTAATTATTACCATCAATAGTGTAGAAGACAATTACATTAGGGATTTTTTTCGTCAGGAATCAGTCAGCCAGTATGTTAGTGCGCCAAGAGGTTATTTCTGTAGTGTTTTTGTAGGAATGTTATATATGTATTAAAACGAATGTACTTATTTATTTTGTCTTAATCTTTATTGTCGAGAATAAAATTCCCGAATGAATGTTTTTCCTCTTTTACAATCCCCTCTGTATCTTCGCACATGCGCATCTACATATTATTCGAGATAAAGATATATATAACAGTTTGTTTTCACTGCTATCTCATATTTGGCTTGTATTATCCCCATTCCTTCCATAGATAGAGTCATCGGCCACTATCGTTTCATTATCAGTACGTGGACATGTAATACTCCTGATTGAAGTTGTTTTTCGAGTAAGTTTAATATTATTCCCATTTCTATATTCCATAGGATCATTGGCCAGTGTCGTTTCATAATCGAGTACGTGAACATATAATATTCCTGATTGAAGTTGTCGTATTGGGATGGGTTGGGTTGGGTTGCATATCGCATTTCTTTTCACGTAGTGTTAGCCATAATTTTTGTTGTAATACTTTGTGAACTTCACATCCTATATAGGTTGCGGGCTGGTTTCTTCCGCAGCTAGACGTTTAACTTGGTTGTTTCTTGAATCTAATTTAACATCAATTTTTTCTCATATCTTCTTCAATCTTCTGTACACTTTACACATTTGAATATTTTACTGCAGTAGGACATGCCCGTCTACTTGACATTTTTGCATTGCATTTGATGATGTTGTTTCCAAGTCTTTATGTTATATACATATTTATTGTTTTCTTTAGAATTTAGATCAACGTAAAAATTAGGTACCATCGCGATTCTGTGAGCTAAGTTTCCACATGCACGGGAATCAGAAAATTCCACAATATAAGGACCGACTAGCACGAAATGAAGCTGTCAGAAGGATACTTGAAATTATAAAGAAAGCAGTTTCTAATTTTGAATGATTCCTGATCTTCATGGCATAATTTTCTAATTACAGTACTTTCGCTTTTTTTTGTAATAACGTGTGCAGTTCCAAGGAGCACATTTGGACTACCACATTGATGCCAGCGCTAATTACATCACTTGGTGCCATTTTTATTACTGTGCCAGTACTCAATTATAACATTTATGCGGAAACAACTTCTGGCGCCAGCTAATTGGCGCCAGTAAACTGGCCAGTAATCCGTGGAGGTGGAAACTTAGCTGGTCGAGGTCTAAATGTCTTTTTTTTTTTTTGGTTGGAAGATGGGATATTAGAAGATATCCGGCGACAAATTATTGCCACAAACCGTTAGTTAAGCAAACTTATAACCTGAATATGTACGGTAGGTAGAAACAACTACCAATAACATGGATGACAACATCTTTCTAGATGAAAAACGAGTCAATAAAATTATTTTTGGGTGGTAAAGTTACTCTCCGTATACTTCATACAGAGAAGACGATTACATTTTGTTCCCATTTGGTGCTCTGAATGATACTTCCGGATAACATCTGGACGAAATATTAAGCTTCGGTAGGTGTCATTAGACTACACGGTGACGTCGGTGACATTTCTTCGGGGTTATACTTCTTGGGGATACTTGGTCGACTTGCCTAATTCATAATTGTGATTACAATTGTATGCATCGTTATTTATAATATACTTCATCATTTACAATTGTCTTCATTTCATTCGCGATTAGTAGCCTTACGTTTATTAATATAAGCATTAGAAAAAATAAATGATACTCGAATTTATGCTCAACAATGAATTAGTAGCATCACTCTTAGTAATCAACGAACCTTCCATTTCTTTATAAATTCTTTCAAACAACTCATTTATCCAAACCGTCTATATCATTATTCTTTCTGGATATTATGGATAAGTTTATTAAACGTTGGGAGTTCATACTGTCATGGAGATAAATGGCGAGTCTTAAATTTTGCTTATAACTCATTTATTACAAACATCAAATTGATGATTTAATATTATTAGAACACCTTTTTACGTAGATCACAAAAATAATATTTATATCCACGTAATGTTTAAACTAAGATTATATAAGATTAATAAGCCTTAATTTGTGGCTGTTTGTAATGATTTGCTCTTATGGTCTAAATCCTATGTCTACAAACAGATTTATAATTTTTATCTTTCGCACTTTATTTTCTTCGCCAATTAGTGATGTAACATGGTAAATTATTTTAGTGCCATGTGTAAAGATCTTATTTACACTTGTACTACATGGATAAGTAGGGTCAAAAATTATTCTATTGCGTAAATGTTAGCCTTTTCCGCCTTATTTTTAAGTCCACTTGATATGATTTTTAATATTATCTCAAATCTTTTGTCAAATCTTAATCAAATCAATACAATCACTTTTTTCTCGGTATTACGACAAAAATATAATCACAAATATTTATGAAAAAACAAAGTAGAATTTGCATGGTATTATATGATGATTTGATTCGACTTACTTAATATATAATTGTAGGCACAAAAAATAACAAAAAATAATGAGTCAGCATAATTTCTTTCTAAGAATTTCTGTTTATAAAAGTATTCATAAAACGATAAGATTGCTTTTTCCCCGCATTTCAAACTTCGCCGATCTCTGCATCTTGCACGTATCAACTCATTTTTGTAATTATTTCCCTCTCCAGTTGACATCGTGCTCGAAGGATGCTATTTTTAACCACAACAATTGTTGCACTGAATTAACTAAAAATAATTTCATCGTTGCTACTTCTTAATGTCATTATCTAAATTGCAGAGAAACCTAAGCTTCAATCGGTGCTTGCGAATTTCCTCCATCTCTTTGTTAAGACTATGTAATCAAATGTTTAATGGTGAAGTTGTTTCTATCAATGTTTATTGATAAAAAAGAATTGAGAATAAATTAAATTAAAAAAGAATCATTCGATAAACAGTGCATATATTAGCAACAACATGATACAAGTTTATTCAAGGACAAGAAATGCATTGTATGTCCCCAATTATATCTTAAAACCTTTTTTATCCACTTTTTAAATATACATGTTTTTATTTTTTAGTAATGCGCATTCGTTGTTTTAATTTTTAATTATACAACGTTTTTGATAAAAACATTGAAAAATTTGCTGCTAAATATAAAACCTATCACTACAATGTAGTTAATTGGGAAATATTTATCTTTTCTATTTTTACGTAAAACTTAGCCAGTCATTGTTATCTTAACAAATTCATGTCAAGTATCATATAATTTGATACTATCTTAAATATCTATTAATCAATAAAACGAAGATGTATCCAAAATATATCAAATTACAAAAATCATAATTTATTAATCAATAAATTATTTATTTAGGATTATATCTTACCAAATAAACAGAGGTATACATGCGAACTGATTGAAGGTAAGCTTCAATAAATTGTCCAGCTCCATATTCCAAACAACTCTTATTAAAAGGGTGCACATTGTAACAAGTAGCTGTGACTGGTTTGAAATAAAATCGACTGAGCACATGCATTTTTTTATTATCTTTTTGAGGTAGGAGATCACTGTCACTATCTCACAACTTTATTGATCCTTCTAATTCCGTACGAACCGCGTTTGTAGTATAGACCTTTTAATTTTTGAACTTCAAGATAAACTGGATGTTTTCATCGACAATAGTAATCTTAGTCCGAACGGTATCCAACACTTGAATACAATAACTAATCATTTGAAAAGTCATTTCGCTTGTGATATCAATTCAAATCTATTCTGTACATATAATCAATTGAAATTAAAAAATGAGAATGGTAAGCATTTATATTTGATGATGTGTTAGTTGGGTTGCATATGTACAACAATAAAAGTGTAATAGATTTAAAAATAAATAACAAAAATATATTTATAGACGTATTTGGACATGCTTCAGCATAATTAGCACCACAACCCCTAGTGGGTCTTGGCCTGTTTTAAGATCAGCTTCCATTCTCTTCTATGTCGTTCCTTGGCTTTCCAGTATATGTGGCTGAGTATCTCTCTTTCAAAGCAACCCAACAAGTTTTCGTTATTTTTTGTCATTGTCTATGTTTCTGATGTCTGATGTCTGATGTCTGATGTTTCTACGTGAGTTTTGTATATTACTACCGTAGTACCATTTGGTATTTGCCTACTATCTCTTCACGGTATGTTGATAGTTGGTCATAAAGTAAGGCTAACACTTTATATGCCACATTGAGGTGGGCAAATGCCTTATAGTTATTACATAGTTTGGACATGCTATTCAATTATATTTGAGTATACAACGAAGATAAATCATTAAAACGATTAAAACGATGCTTATTCTTCATTAGAAATGTCCAGCTTCTTTGATTTAATTCAAGAAATTTATGTGTTTCTTCTGCTTCTCAATATCTTGGGCAACACACTGAAGTTTCTTCTTCAGTGAAAATAAAAGGTACCCATACCACATCAGTGTGGGAATAAAATTGCAGACGACGATAAGAAATTTGTAAATATGTATTGATACAAGCCATTATATTAATAATAATGTTTGTAACGCAAACTATATATGAATCCAGCTCTTTTTGGATTCCTAAATAAACAAATTAAACCTTTTAATACAAACATAATCCGCGAAGAAGTAAAACGTCTTATTTTCACTTTCTAATCATTTTTAAAGAAATCACATAGTATTTATCACAAAATATTAGTGTAAGAACTGATTATCAGTGATTATATATATGATTATATATGAATTGTTGTAAGTAATGGTGCGCCATCTGTTGGATTTCTGTGATAAACATCGCTTTATTATAGATAACTGTTTATTGTTTTGGCTATAAACCTTTCAAATTAAAAAAATTAAGCAAGATTATCTTTTCTGAGGTAAAATTAAGTTCTCTTTCAAATACATAACTTTTACTGCTGTTAATTAACTTGATAAAACAATTAATAGTTTCAGTAAAATGACAAGGTGTAGTTAGCGGCCTCTCTGATGACAAAAATGCATTAAATTCAAATATCTCATTCGCAAAATCTGTATAGTATCGTCTTAAAACTTCAAATTTGTTGAGAAATAAGAAAACAGTTAATAATAATTACTATTGTAACTAAATTGTTTATTAACGATAATAAATAATAGGTAATAATATAATGACAGATAGGCAACCCATTTATCTATTTCCTTGATAGATAAATATCAGCTGACTATATTGTTAGGTTAAGTTCGTAATGTTTACTTTTATTGTGCGATTTGTTGATAAAATAACGCTAAAAAATGTCTGATAACGTGTTAGACGCAGAAAATTGGAAATTTGAAGCTCAAGCAGTTATTAACGATATAAAAAACCACGTCGAAACCGCTTCAATTTCATCAAAAATCGTCAGCACCAACGAAAAAATTTACGTTAACATCAGGACGATTGAAGGAGAAGATTTCTGCCTGGAATTATCAGCCTTGGGATTTCGTGTATGCGGAAATCAGCCCGATACGATAAATGAACCCACCTCGGAATACTACGAAACACCGTACGGATTATTAAACGTAATCAGCCCGAAATTTCGCGAATCTTTCGGTAATCTTTTAGTAACGAAATTGTCGGAATTACAAAATAAACAATAAACACGGGTTATTATTTGCGTGATAGTAGTAGGGATGTTCAACGCGCACGTTGAAGTTGGTACCGCTGTTACCGGAGCTTGACCCAGTGCTCATAATTTCATACCGCTCCTAAACAATGAGTGGTGTTGACAGATTTCTGACGTCCACCTCGATGCGAATCATGAAAAAAACCGACGCTTTTATATCGTTTTAAAAGACAGGATGTGATGACTGTTTTTTGCATTGTTTAAACCCGATTTTTTGAAATTTATTTTGCTTGGACTATTTTAGTGAAAATTTTTAGTGGCCATAGTGCTCCTAAGGTGTGATTATCCCAGGCTTTGACAATGCAAACTACATAATTTAAGGTAAGCATTTTATTTTTATACGCCCATCTTCTATAATATCATTTATTAAATAATTAGCATTTTGGTTTACCTTAACCTGTAATATTCAAAAACCGGCGAAACAAATATCACGAATCCTTCATTATCTTTAAACGCAAAAACTTTAACTTAAATGTTTCTATTATCTCCGTGATATTTCTTACGAATACGCGTTTACATTGCACAATTGCGTTTCAAATTCTTATTTAAATTGCAATTCTAAGAGCAACGTGTGTAATATGAAAACAATCTTTAATTATGATTCATAACCCATTATATTCATTCATTCATTACACGTAAGACTCTTTTAAAATTTAATCTTAAATTAACTCAAGATAAAACCCAACTTCATTCATTGCTTATAAAAACACACACCTTTTCAACTCGAATATTTGCTTCTTTTTCGATTTTTGTTTATTTATACTACGGCGAAGTTACGGGTTCGTTTATTTTCTTGTTCTCGTTAAGTAATTTTAGCGATAATCCCGAAATTTTATCTGATATTTATCTAATGATAAAAAAAACCTGTCAATTTTGTAACAATAAGTTTCATTTGTATAGTATTGTTTGTGTAATAATTGTAGAAATAAGTGGTTGTTACACAAGTTGTAACATGAATGTAAAAAGTCAACAGGACAACATCCAAAAATTATTGCATGTTAGTTTTGTAATTTAAACTAGACTTTTAAAGTTATTTTTTCAACATTATTTTGTTGGATTTTTTCCAAATAACATAACCAAATTTCACAATAAACTCAAATATTTAATATGTTTCTTGTTGTTGATAACAAAACTTAAAGGGAATAAGAAACGGTTGTGTTTGCTTAATGAAAATGTATATTTGGTCAGTAAATAAACTCGAGTATGGCAGGTGATATGTTTATGGTGATTTGATTGATATTGGAGCGAGAAAGGAAAAACCTTATTAATTTTTTTTGGTGACCTGATTTCGTGAAATCACTTTTGTTTACATTTTTTATCTTTTTATATAAATTTACTGCGTAACTCAATATCAATTTAAACAAAAATAAATAACTATATTTTTCGTAGAATGAACAAAGCACCCACAATATTAACCGTTATTTCAACCATAACAAGTTTTTTTTGTTGTTTTGAAAATAGATTGTATTCGTGTTATATTGTTAATTGTTAATAGAAAGGTTAAAAATGAGATAACAAATTGACGTTCCGACAGTGGAAAACTCATTAGAAGCTGTCAATCTGTTCGTTCATTGAACGTTCATCAATCATATATTGTGTATATTCGGAAACAATTCTATTCTTCTCCATATATGACCTAAATTGGTTATGGCAGATTAATACGTTTACAAAATGGATTATGACGTAGCTAAATTAAAGTTTTAAAAGTGTTAAATAAATTGATTTTGTTATACAAGATGTCTCAAAAACTCTGTAAAAAGTAAAACCTCCATGTAGAAAAATATTCGTTTTAATTTCTTAGAACTTAATTAGTTGAATCTTAATTAACGAGTTTTTCAAGATCCTTTCATCAAGTTGCAACGTCACTTGTATTTAAAACTTGTGCGTGATCATTTTGCAAGGTCTTGACAAAAATATTTGATTACAAGAACTTTTAAGCATCGAACATGTGTCTGAATGTCAACATTTCCTTAAAATTTCTGCTGCTAAGTATCAGTCGAAAAATAGAACCCTCTCATCTGCGATGAAACCTGTCTGGAAACAATGTAGAAACATCGCGTATAAAATGTACAGCATGAAAATGGTGATTTTGTATAATTAGGTTTTATGGACAAGAAAATGCCAATGGGGACCTCAGTATCAATCCACTCTTTAAATGTGGTACTCACCAATTGATATGTTTTTCAATTGACCGGTGTTAGCCACGCTGGTATGATCAGAATAACTCTGTTATTAGAAATGAATGAAATTAACGTTCTTTTTGCAACCATCGACTAAGAGCCAAACTATTATAACGGAAGTTCACGCCTCGTAAGGATCGTGGCTGTCAAAGAAAAGTTGCGATGAAGAGCGTCCACTCCGCAATTGCGTTGATAGCAACATACATCTTCAATTACCGCAAGTGTTTCTGAATCGTTTTCTAAACAGCAATATCCATGGAGGTTTCTGGTGTCAAGTAATATGCTTCATTGACAGCACTGAATTGGGCAGATCAGTTAATGAACAGAGGAGATATGCCAAGCAAGACGTGCATCATTAGCGTTTTTATGGTACCTATCGTCAATTAATTATGATGTACGTTTTTTTGAAATGACATTTTGATGTACGAAAAAGGAGCACTAGACACACTAGAGACCTTGGTAGGTACAATAATAGAGAAACTCCGGACTCTCCCTGACTGGATATATCTTTTCAAAGATTTTTTTCTTTCACCAGAAATGACCCAAGGCTAATAGGTCGCATGTTATTTTGATTCCGCATACTCAGTACTGCTTTAAGTATATTAGTACCTTTACCTCAGACCATTGAATAGGTTTATATGTCCTGCCAGCATAAAACCTGAACACTGTTAAAATAACTATTATTGTTTTTTGTTGCTGCAATATTGCAGAGATATTTGATCTTTTTCTAAGCGATTTGATTAGTTTGAAGCGACTTTCAGGTCACGCATTAATCCGGTCTTGGAAATGATCTTGTATAAATAACTTATCTAGCTTTCAAGAGTTAACAAAGTTTTAATGGACTTTTAACAAAGTATAAAAACGTTAGGAATGTTTCGAAAGACATTGTTTATATACAGATACCAAAGAAATATACGCTTTTATTGGCATACTGAGTACAGACGGTCAGCTGGAGTACAGACGTTTCAATATGTAAATACTAAAGAGCTTTAGGCTAATTCGAGTTTCTAACGATGTTACAGGAGCGATTTCATCTTTTATTAAGTGCTCTAAGATTTGATGATGCCAACGATAGAAACAAACTGATAATACTTGACAATTTGGCTCCTATTCTGTAAATATTTAAAAAGTTACCTAGTTAGCATAAATTACCAAGTTGGGGAACACTGCACAGTATATGAAATGTTAGAAACCTTTAGAGGGCATTGTTTGGAGATTATATATTTTACATTACAAAACAGTTTTTAATTTGGTAGTTCAAAAAAAGATTTTGTTGTCACTGTGACTCCTTTATTATTGTATAGGTGCGCTTGATGATGTCATAAGTCGAAGTATGGAATACAATGAAATACATTGGAATTATTTTTATTTCTAGTATGTTATTATATTGAAATATCGGTGGAAACGGATTAAACATCTGTGAAGTGTTATGAAGTCGACACTCAGATTTAATTATTTTAGCAGTAGAAAACTGAATCCAAAGCTTTCAGCTTGTGTTCCGACATTATAATACATGTTTTTTTTTTAATTTGGTACTGTTCTCTTAATTTAATAGATGCTTTCGGTTGTTTTAAAAGGTAAAGTATCCTGCAATGTGGCTCAAAATGTATTTCTGTTTAAAAACTCCAGGTACTTTGAGCGTACCTACAAAATTCAAAGCCCAACAATACTAAAAAGGATAATGTTGTAAATATTACCTTTTCTGGAAAATGTGTTGAATGCTCAAATACCTGCGCTTATTACCTGCAGGTATTTGGGCCTTATTCTGTCGAAACTAAAATACTTTAATACTTTAATGAGTTGTCACTTTAAAATGCAGCATCACTTTACCTGAATACGCTCTGATTTTTCTGCATATAAGTTGCCACACTAAATAGAGATAAATTGGTATAATGTTGTGTAATCAATTTGTGATCAAAATAAATCCTGAATTCATCTCCTGAAAATGTCCTAATTTGTACCGAAACCGGTCATCCTTAAAAAAAAAAAACAAATAAACTATTTAAATTTTTGCTTTAATTTCAGGTTTTTATAGTAAATTATTCATTAACTCATAACCTAAAAATCAATCATATTAGATCGTAACTAAAAAAAATCTTTTTTTTCATCATTCTTTTTCTGCTTTAGTTTTAATTTTTTGTAGTAAAACTAGGACGTGGTTTCCTTTACTTTCACTGTGCACAACGTTGATCGATAAAAAGGAACAATGGATAAAATGCCTCAGTGGAAAAGCAAGAACAATATACAATCTTGCCAAGTAATTTTTTCGCTGCTTGTTCATTTTTTTTGTGTTAATAAATAAAACGAAAAGAAAGGTTTCATACAAGTTTTTAATTCGGTTCTAAAAATTCTAAAAAGAAAGTACTGCTAGTAGATTCATTCTTAAATTTGTTAAGGTAGGAGGTAATCAATTTTATTTTTAGCTAAACCATACTCTAACAGCAGCAGGAAAGAACTGCATATAACGTTTTAAGAACATCTGGTTTCTGTAAAGTGCACCTTTTATTATAAATAGTCCAACTCGAAGTGTTTTTCATGTACCCAGAATTAGTTATTTGAAATTTCTGTAGTTTCTCCAATTCGATTTTATGCTCATTTTCGTGATTTCGATCGTAATCATAACGAATTGTTTATTTTGTTTTAGGTTTACGATCCTCAACGCTGCTGATGGGATTTTACACGAAAGGTACGTTTCAACGATTTCATAAATCCAATTAAATGCGGCGCTAAGAATGTATATTAACGTGATTCATTGGGTCTCGCCGTTGTGTGTATGTGTAATGTTCGTTCTTAGTCATCGTCATCGGTGCTTGTATCTTTTGAGAACAAAGAGTAATTTATAAATAAGTAATTTAAAGGTCCTTCTGTATCTTAAAAGGATTTCTGAAAATGGTGGCGAAATCTTTTAAGAATCACTTTGGTATTATTTATAGTAATATAACTTGAGTTTTGATAATCTGTTTACTATCGATGAGATATCTTATAACGATCATGTAATAAAATGGTGAGTTTTCTATAGAAATTAAAATGTTACTCAACAAACGAGATTAAAGTTTTGAATGGAACTAGAATCGCCATAGAGCGCGCACTGTCGCTGACTAATCTCGGTAGATTTTGCGTCGAGACAAACCGCAGTTTTTGTAGAGGCTTTGAAATGAACGGAACGTGCTCTACGAAAGTTCTGGATCGCTCGGTATCTCCTCCGACATAACGCGCCGCGATAAACCACAGCAACTCGTGTGCTCTAGTTTTTAGTTCATATTTCTTTATGACTTAATCGGTTCAGTTTGCCTTTTGTCTACTTCTCAAACACTAAAGATGCAAATCTTAAATCTTTTTGTGTAAGTATTTTTAAAATTTCATTCATTAAAACCTTTTTATTCCATCTTTTTTAATCGAATAAATTTACTTCTTAATTTGTTTACAGATTAACTATATTCTTTTATAATTACTTTTCTATGGTTCTTCTAAAAATAAGCATTTAAGTAGTGTGGTATGTAGTTGATAAGAAGCTACGTGGTTGTTGCTAAAAATCTTTGACCTAACGATAACCTAACAGGAACTGTACTTAGCCTATAAGAGCCGATGACTTCACGATAACTTTGTTTTGAAAGTTTTTCTTTTGAGGTCGAAAAGAATTCTACGCACTTTGATTACGTACTTTTTTTTTTGAATATTTCTTTTTACGAGATAAACAAGGTTATTTATATCTTCCAGGAAGTCTTCTTAAAAAATCGTAACTTACTAATATTTTCTGGGAAGGTGTATCATATGTTTAATGTATTTTTTGTTAGTAATGGTGTTGTGGTCGGCTTGTACTCGTTACAAAACGGTAATAGAATAATGAGAGACAATAAATAAATGGTTCTGGAAAAAGAGCACGTAGTTATAAATAGATCATTGTTGTTTGAATATAAATTTTTGGATTACATTTTGCAATCATAACTTAAATTTTAAAGTGTTCCTTACTATTAACAACAAATTGATATAAAATTGTTAAGTGCACAAAACGAGAACACAAAATTCAATAATTATTAAATCTGAATATATTTTGGTGCAATACCACATAGAATATAAAATAAACCCATTCAAAAGAGAAACCAGAAAAATTAAAACACTTGAATTAAAAATATAAAATTTTTGAAAGGGTAAATATGATCAGTGGGGGAATAGGAGTACGAAGTGAACAAGGATGCGAAACTTGCTACATAATTTAGCTCCCGCGTCCACAAAGTGGATTACTTTTAAAAAGGGAAACCGGATATTATAAAACATGCACATCTTGAAATATAAAATAATCCATCCGCATAATTCGATTAATGAAATTAAAAAAAGTAATTTATGTTTTTGGGAGGGAATGGGAATATGGCCTAAACAGGATGGGGTGTGTAACGGGATGTGTATATCTCCGGATGATGGTTTAAACGTCGAAACCGGTGAAATTAAAATCTCTAGAAAACCTTTTAATTTTTCTGGTGACACTTAAAACTTGTTCTGAAAATCCCGTACCTTCTAAAAATTTCTAGATTTGCGGGATTTAGGAAACTTCTTGATGGGGGCAAGTAGAACGCCCAAAACCTTTTAAATAATAACTCTTAACTTTAGTCCTTAGCTTTTTCAAAAACTTTTTCCGGAACACTTCGGACGTGAAGTAACCCGGTGAAATATTCAACTCTTTGAAAAAAATATCGGCAAAATCAACTAAAATTTCGTAAAACAAAAAACTTTAGATTAAACTTTCATTGTAGTATGAACTATGATTTTTTTCCAAAATAACACTGAGTTTGAGGAGTTCTTGTGAAAGAACTTGGTAATGAAGTTACTAAGGGTTAAATAAAGTTATTACATAAAAACTTCTGCACGTTTTTAGTTGTTTCCCTTAAAATTAGTCTTTGTGTCTTGGAAGATAGAAAATACAGAAAAATTCTAGAATTGCCATTAAGACGCGAAATCGTAAACTTAATATTAAAAAAGTTCTGCGTAGTTTTCAGTTCTTATTCGAGGATTCGGAACGTTACTCAACATGTGTTCATTATTGTGGTTAACAGTGACATGCTTCCTTTGCCGTTTTAATCAGAATGCGCCTCTGTTGACGTTCCTCATCGTTTTATCTATAACAAATGTTGTGTGAAGTAATCTTATAATGAATGATTTCACTTCATTTTCAACAAACATGCTTTCTCATAACGGACAACTTTTAGTATTATTTTCTCAACCTCGTTGACGTTTATTAACGCAATCCACCGGACAATTATAATATCGCCAATATAGAAACTTTTCTATCGCTACCTTCCACATATTCCAAAATATCTTTATAGTAGACATTCGATAGCCGACCTATTCCTAGTCAGTTCCTCAAGCTTTTGTTACCAAGATCTAATTTAAATAAATTATTCTCGACACAATTTTTCACTCATTGTTCCATGGATAAAAAGTTCGTTATTATGGCACAGTAATTATAAATCTAAATTACATTAAATAATTAATTATCACACTAAAAAATCAACCTTTAGCTGTTTTCGATTTAAATGAAAATCCAAAGTTTACTAATTTTTTCTGTCTTGCATTACAATAATTTTCATAGTAAATTTCTGCGAGCGTTGTTATGTTTCTTTTACATTTGATGTTACTTTTTACAGTACTTGAATGTTTCTGGTTCGATTGCTCTTTGTTAATCTTTATAAATCTCTTCCTGTTCAACAAATCATTTATTAATATCTTGCTAGAGTCTGACAGCTCGTTTAACATTCAGGTTGTTTTATACAAAATATTACCCAATTTTTCCCGAATGTAGCTTCTCTACGAATTGCTTTTGTTGTGAAAAGAACTGTTCCACGCTTCCAATTAGCATTATAGTTGTCACTTGTATCAACTTCATTTAATTATTCCTCAGAAATTAATCCTTCAACATGCCAACTCCTCAAAATCAACTAATCCCATTGGATGTTCCAATTTAGTATCTGCGAATGCGGATATATGACAGTTAGTTTATATAATTCCCTGAAAATAGTGTTTTTTGCTAAAAGTACCATTTATACATTTTCGAGTTGTAAACCGTGAAGGTAACACGGTTGAAGGTATCAACCTCTTTTACTTAAATACACTTAAACTTCTGCCACAAAAAAGATCTGTGGACAAATGGGCGACAATAATACCAGTATTAGTTAGTTATAGGATATTGTTGTACAAAACAAAAAATCGACTTTGTTTAAGTCAAGTAACCATGATCATTATAAATCGGACATGTAAAGTTTATGCCAAAGCAAGAATCAGCAAAGAAAGCAGTGTTAAGCTTGTTTCTGAAGAAAGTTGCAACATGGAATTCGAAACAATATTTTAACATAGACCCACGGAAATTTCTGGTTTTAGTTTTATTTCTAATAACACCCACCGTGAAAGCCTACGAAGTTATATTTATTGATCACTTTTCGCATCGTTGTTAAATATGGTTCACGACCGAAAATTCCATGAAACTCGCTTTTGGTTAAACGTAACTTTCTTCATTTCTGTAATGGCTTTTCACAATGATAACGCGTTGTTTCTTTATGTAGCACTCCACAATTAACCCTTCGTCTGTAAACGGTTTTTTAGCACCTTCCGTCTGTAAAGGTGGGTCTTTCGGGTTCGGCCGTTTTTTCATCCTGTTAATGCACTCAAAAAATTTTGTAAACAATTCGTGATAATGTTTGAAACCTTCAACTTGATAAATCAATCATAAAATTATGGAAATATTGATTTCTGCCTACATATTTTTTTATACAAATGAAGAAATTATTTGCCTAAATAGTTGTAGTGCGGACGGGAAATACCCAGGTTTATAGAGGAAGGTTTAATAATCGGAACCATCGCAGATGACAGCTGTCAAGTTTCAGAAGTGTCACTTGCACAAATAAAAAAATAGCGCAAATTTTAAATGGGGCACTCTTATTGAGACACCTTTGGATGATCTAATATTTCATTTGGATGTGTTTGGGACTCAAGTTCTTAAATCGATATATCAATATATTTGTCTAGACACGCTACTGGGCTGCATGTAGTAATGTTATTTAAGTAAGAGGGTAGCCACGGATTGTATTTGCCAATCAATCAACAATTTTATTTCCTTCGGTGTATTACTTTTAATAAATAGCTTTTTCTCTTCAATAAGTAAGAATTTCAATCGATATAAAACGGAATTGTTTTTATGGATGTTTGGTTTTTCTCTGGCAGTACTCTAATATAGAAAGTCCAACAAGGATTCTCTAAGGCGCTTGATTTTAGTGTTAAAATTTATCCTAAAAACAAAAACGCGTTACAATCATTATTGCATGCAGCATAGTGTGCTAAATACCTGATTGCGTCTCATTCAGCCGAGTTTGCTTTTAGATATAACACTCAATCATGCTATCCTTATAAAATGAAACCGTTTACTCTGCATATTTATGAGGCTATATAAAAATTAAATGCTTCTTACTTTGCTATTCCAAAACAAATACCTTTTTAATTCATTTTAGAGTTGGCTTGAGTTGTTGATTTATATGTAGATTATTTCTTTTAAATCTTTGCAATTTGTTAAATCTAAGAGTAGGAAATTTGTGTACGATGCACGTATGCCAGCTGTCAGGAAAAATCAGTCTATATTTAAGAAGCAGGCTTTCTATACGCATTTAGTTGAAATTTTCAAGTAAGGAAAGTCTATAAATATTAAAATAATTTTTTTTGAACAATCTGCATGTTGATTGTTACTTTGGTATAATTCGGCAAATACTTGTTATTTAATTTTAAAACTTAAAGATTTTTGTTTCTATCATTAGTTATTGAAAATTATATGATCTCGTTTTGTGTATTTGCCACGTCAAAATTACCATATTAATTCTTTTATTGCTTAAAGACTTGAGATCTAATCGTTTCCTCGAGAATAGTTTAAAATACTTGTATTTGAGGGTGGTATTCACAGTTAGCTCTTCCAAGACGCTTAAAAGGATTCTGGTCGACCTCAATTGTGATCATAAATTTTTGACAACCCAACCATATATTGTTGGTAACTTTTGACATAATTTCCACACTACAGAGTGGTTCAACCGACTTAAAGTTCTCTTGAACGGACTGCTTAATGAATGCAAAACAGTTTTTTAAACTACTAAACAAATGCTTAATTTTTAAACGTTATTCGATAAATAAATTTAAAAACAATAAATTAAGATCAAATATTTATTTAGGCTAGGTGCGATGGACAGTTTGCACGTATCTGGCCAACAATCGGGTAGCAAAACATCAAGTCGAAGCACTTCCCCATGCAGACCTCGAAGCTCAGAGTACCAAGTTCGTGGTCATCACATGAAATCTTTAAGTCATGGTTCGGCAGATAGTACTAAGGTAAATTTAATAAATCAAAATTTTTTTATTACAAAATTATCACATCATCTACGTCAAACACACAAAAAAATCATTTCAAAAATTGGCATAAATTTTTTTTTGTAATTCGAAAAAGCACTACCACTGCACTTGAAAATGGGGTTTTAATATTTTATTTTTCGATTACATTTCGGGTCCAACTCTAAAAATGTTCTAAAAATGAGCTTAAACGCATAAATATTTCCAGGAACAAAATTCCGATTCATCTCTTAATCATAAAATAAGAAATACATCGTTGTCACAGTTTCTTCCAAGATTCTAAGTGATACAAACGATTCGCCAAATATATCTACTTGGGGATTTCTCAAAAACTTTCGTCACATCGCGTATTATACCTTTATTAACCGTTGTTGACCGACGTCGAAACGATTAATTTTAAAAACGCAAGTCCAACTTGGATCTTATCCAATCAGCTGCGTTATACATAAACAAAACAGTACAGGAAAAAATTGATTCGTGTTATTGTGCCAAATTCTTTGCAACTACGTGTGTACAATTTGGAATTTGAATAGTATAAATTTTAAAATAACTTGGCGAAACTATAATTAACTACAATTATTTTATAGAATTCACCGTGTATTAACATTAATTTTACATTGAAATAGTAGGTTTAAAATGCGTGGGTGGTACCGGAAGTGTCTTTTGAACAACGGCGTCTTTACATGAACAATGCACCACTCTTCCGGTGTTGGGTTATTAGGGCGTTTGTTGCACAAGTCCGCGTCCGCTTTTTAACATTCTTTTCCTCCTTTTCTTTTTTGTCATTTTCATGCTTTTTTTTCTTTTTCGTCATTCTCCACCATGAAGTATTTTGCACGCGCAGCTTTTTCTTTCGTCATCCTCTTTCATTATCTTTTCACGCTTTGTTGAGGAAAGCGTGCGTCCGCAAAGTCTTTCGGGTCGTGGCCTTTCCGGGTCACGAGGTGAGGGTTCTTTTAGTAGACTTTAATTTCTCGTCGATAGCTTTTACGATGACTGATTCGTTAGTTAAATGCATTAATTAACAAGTTTCTTTAAATTTGCAATTCATTTTATTTATACTTTTTATCAAATGAGTCAAGTGACGTGGTTTGTGTTTAACGTAAGTGGTTCAAAGTGCGATATTAGTCGCGATTGAGTGTTTTAATTGAGGAAATTTATCTTTTTTCTGCTTCCGTGATGTTTTTTTTTTAAGTGACTTTCACTTGATATTGGATACGTCCACGTAAAGTAGAACTAAAATGGCAAGACTAATTAGATTAATTGTATTGAATGTGATTAGGAATTGAAAAAGTTTCTCAGAAAATAAGAGAAATTGTTTGATTTAAAAAATTATTTTAAATCTTGACCTAGATTGCAACTAGTTTATTATACACGTCTGTACAATCTTGTACTGATTAAATCTGTACAGCAAATGGTAATGAGAGATATGTTCAAAAATTGATAATTAACTCTACTTTAGATTAGGTTTTTTAAACGGAATGAAAGTTCCTGGAAATTAGAAATATTCAATAAATACGGATTAATTCTAATTTTATAACCGTAAAACATTCTTCAATTTGCAATACTTTCTTTAAAAAATTTGAAAGTTAGTTATGACAAAAAATTATAATTATTTCTGTTTTATTTAGCTCTCAAATAAATTATTTATTGACATAATCTTAATAACTCGGAGAAACAATATTGATCGTTATTCTCATTGATTTTTCTTATCTATACTTATAACTTATTCTAAACACCGCAACCTTCTCCAAAACTTTCAAATTGTGCATATTATTATCATCCAGATACAAATGCTACGTATTCAGTTTATCGCATAAATAAGCTAATGTTTGCCAAAATTCGAATTCGGCAAGATAACTAAAGATTTCATGACCTTTCCCATATAATAAAATGTTGATTTTTTGATGTAACTGATGTGGTAAAAAGTTTTTGCTGTTATGTGAAAATTGTGCAATGGAAATTTTTATTTGCCGAGATAGTATAAAGAATGGAGATAATTTCGATTTTCTTGACATTCTTTACGTTACTCCTCCTAAAATACTCGACGATCGTACGCAGAGATACCTTGGCAAAACTACGCGAGGCTAAAATATCTCTCCACATTCTCCTCCTTTATCTAAATGACCAATATTGATCGGAATATTGCTGGGGCCTAAGCGAAATTCATTGTTTTGTTATAAATACCTTTGAATAATATTTGGAGAGTAACTTACCACCGTTTCGAATCCCTTCCTGCTTTCAAACTAATGGGGTAAAACTGCAACGTATTTATTTACATCTTCTTTACGAAAATAACCTTTTTCCATGTCTATTATTATCATCGTCATATTTGCTAAACGAAAAATAAGCCTAACAATAACAACAATTTCATCTCGATATTTTGATGAGTTAATGTTAACCGTTTGATTTATGTTTTAAACGTAAACTGATTTTTTTTTCTTTCAGGAATAAATCAAATAAAATAGATCAAAATCGATTGATCTATTTTTAGTTACATAAATCCAGTTACAAATTTTAAAATCACCAATATATTTTAATGTTATGAAAATCTTACTAACAGAGAGATATCGCAGTTAACACTTCACACTTGTATACACTAACATAACTACCTAGCAGATGCTGCATCTGTTATACAGTCTTAATTGAATATCTTCGTATTATCTTGATTGCATATTGCACCGCAATATTGGCTCCTTTGTCTAGCGTCCGAGTAATTATCCCAATGGATTTCTAATCTAACATCATCTGCTACGCTCTAATTATGTTTACGTATTGTTTGACGTGGTATAGACCCAAATAATTGTATTTTTGAATGTACAGCGTTCGCTAACCCTTTTACATCGAAAAAAAATCGTCATTTTTCTTAGTTAATTTACAGACGACAACTATACAGATATATGTATATACGAAAACTATCGAACAAACCTCCCATATGAGAATTGTAGTATTTTACAGCAATTGAGCAGGTGACATCATTATTATTTCCGTCTCTTTGCGTGCGCTGTATTGGCAAAATACACTACCTTATTATCTTACCATTCGAATATCCTTTTAGTGTTGTTTATATAAAACTCGTTATCTCCTTTTTGCATTGATTTATCACATAACGAAAAAATTTTTGGGGAAGTCCTTTCTGTTAGCGCGATTATTACTATGCCGCAATCAGACAGGTGCGTCCAACTCAGATATTGATGGTAAGTCCATTACCCATTATCTGATAAAACTTTAATCTGAGGTGAGTACACCACTTTATATTCAGTTCGAATATCGAAGTTTAAAAATGTAAATATTCAGAGATAGGTAACATGATGATTGAATTTCAATCATAATTAAGCTTTTTTGCAATACATATATTAAAACATGGATTTCAATCTAGGTACAGTTTCTTTTGAAATTAGAATGTGAACAATTCAAATAAAGATATTTCTTTGCTGTGTGTTGTATTTCTTATATAACTATGATATAGTAGATATCTCAGATGTGATTCTTCTCGAAAAAGTATTTTCTAGGGTATATCACGTAACATGTATTGGCACTTTAGGAAGAGATTTATTGCAACATTAGTTTTTGCTTGTGGTAATACCCCAAAATCACGCTTGAAAATGTTAGAATTCTCTTTGATTTTATTTTCAAAGAAACGGTGATGTTCATTCATAATTTAAATTCATCATTTGTTTCCTCCTGGTTTTCCTTTTTCTCTTTAATTTTTTACTCACATTCTACACCGTTCTAGCTTCTCCAAGAATTTTTGTAAATTGCACAAGTCTCCATTAGTTTTTTAAATTTAATTTGAACTTGAAAAGGCATAGAATAGCACCGATTATATCATTTTAACGTGCTTCAATAAATTCAAAAATTCTTAGAAACAACCGATATTTTTTTAAATACACGGCCCAGAAAAATCAGAAATTTTCATTCCAGGTTGATTAGAAAATAATCATTAAAACTAATTATCAAATAATGTTTTAATATAATTCCTGCACTATCAACTTTGATATCTCGTATAGGACTTGTAGCTGGATTAATCTTTTTGCATTATAAGTTCACGTGAATATACGTTCAATAAGGAACTGATTGTTATCATTCGACCAACCAATGTTTACTACTAAATTGCTGAAATAACTTAAAAGGGGGATTCACGGAAACACGTCCATGCGATACGACCCACACTCTTCCGAGTGTTTAAATTGGATGTGTAGGAACTATTTGAACCGAGCCGTGAACGGAGCGAGTGAACACGAGACCACGAAATGGGTGCTCGACACTCGTTGCGATAAACCTTGCCAAGGGTGTTTTATTTCGGTTCCAAATATTAACGCCGAGCGGATACATAGGGCTGTTTTAAGTAAGTTTGTCGAGTTGAAACGAGCCGCTGAAAATCGATACGAAAAGGAGGGGGTAGATCCTATAAAGCTGTTAATATTTTATTCGTAACTAAAATAACTTTTGTAAAGAATTGTTTTAGTAATATTTTGTGCTCACAACGCAAATACGGTAAGATCTATGGTTTTGGTTTCGATTGCTTCAGCTAGCACAGGCTCGGTGGATTATATTAAATCCAAGCCATAGGAAGGCACACAAAACAGAAAAAATAATAATAGTAATAATAATATATATCTATGAACCCAAGAAAAATTCAAAAGAAGAAATAATAAAAAGAATATATATACATAGAAATAAAACCCTAACATGAGCTAATAAGAATTACGTCGACTTACTCTATAAAGAGTAGTCGGTTATTTTTGTGGTCCTAACATTCAAAGAGTTAAATTAATAATGTTAATATGTAATTGGTAGAACCATAAAGCAGAACATATATCAAGGGAATAAATAACATGTTAGCAAAATAGATTCCTGAGGGGTGTTCGTGACGAGAGTGATAATTTCTATGCGAAACTAGCTACAATCTGTTATGAAACAAAGACATGTACTGCTGGCCCAGACAGACAATATTGCCACCAGCTTATTATCGTGCAACG